TAACAAAATTAATATTATGATACTAGCTAAAGTAATATTTAGATCATAGCAAAACTAGTATAAGTATCATAACAAAAATATTATTTATATAATCTCTAAAAAAATATAAAAGTGATATATCTTAGCTAGTAAATTTAGACAATTAAGTAGTCAGATAGTTAATTAATTAGTTAGATATTTAGTTATTTAGTTTGAGTTTTATGAGTTTAGTTCTCAATTTATATTTTAGTAGATTATAATTTTAAGAGAATTCTAAGGAATCTCTTTTGTAGAATAGATCTTGATTAAGATCTATTATTTTATCTTGTTAATAAACTGAATATTACATCTATCTTGAAGATTATATTTTGGAATTAGACTACATTCTAGCTAATTACAATAAGAACACTATCATTATCTATCTTTAAATTAACTTTGAAATAATAGTAGATATATTTTTGTCAATAAATCTTTTAAAGACTCTCTTAAATATCACTTTAAGCACGTGATCACTTTTATCATGTACTTTTGTAATATTAGATTTAATACTCACCCTCATCTCAGAACTCACACCAAAAAGATAATAATATAGAAGTTTATATATTATAATTATATATAATTTATATTAACTTAATATTTTAGTAATAAAAACTTTAATTATATAATTTTATTCTGATAATAACTAAATAATAAGATTAATATTTTGATAAATATTTGATTTTGAAATAATTATATAATGCTTATTATAAATAATAAGAATTAATATAATACTAAATATATAAAAAACTTTTGATTATATTTAGTTAATGAAATTAACTTTTGATAATATTTATTTATTAGTTTAACTTAAAAACAAAATTCTTTAAAAATAAACAAATATATTTGTTTTTCTCACTTTTTTATCTTAAAATAAAAAAAATCTCACTTGCAAATCAATAAATAATTATTAGTAAGCTTTGAAATTACAATATTTGAAATATCTCAATTCTAGTAAAACTAAGTGATATTTCTCTTTCTATAATATATAAGTATGTTATAAAACTAAAAAAAAAATTCAAATATATTTTCCATTCTGAAAGTTCAATAATTTTAACTTTTCAAGATTAAAGTGTGCTAGAATCATTCAAAATAACCAGTATCTTATCTGTAAAGAAATCACTATTACACTCAGTTCTAAAATCGAAATATTATTATAAATAGTTAATTATGAGCTTAATAAGCTTGAATATCATTCATGTCATCCCAAAACTGTATCTTTACTTATAGCAAAGCAATATGAACATTATGTAAAATAGATCTCTATCCATGCTAGACAGAACTAAAAACCTATTATATTTTTGGATGAACAACTTTTTAGATATTTCAAAATATTATGATAGCTTTTTACAAATTTAAAACAAACATCCTATAGAAGAGAATCCCAAAACATCCTGTAAAAGTCTATATTCTCAGCGTGTAGAAAGATCAGCTTTTATATATTCATTCAGAACATGGATGGACTGCTCTATCATGAAATTTTAACTAATCATCTCTTTGAAAATGTGTCTAGAATTATGCCACCATGTTGGATCTTCCAGCAAGACAATGACCTGAAGAATCAAAGAAACATCCAAACTTCTTCATTGTCAAGTCCTAAAGATCCTTGATTGGCCTTATTATAGTCCTGATCTAAATCCAATAGAGAACCTGTGGGCTATTATTAAGAAAAGAGTAGAGAGATGAGTTAATAAAATAATTAGAAAAGAAAAGACACTTAGTATTGAGCGCTGGCATGGATTAATTAGGAAAGAATGGGAGGGTATTTCCATAGATCTATGTCTGAATTTAGTAATCGGGATGTCGGGCGTTCGAATGAAGTTATTGAAATAATGGAAAAAATCAACTATTAGTGTATATTGATAATTTGTACATAGAAACCGTATGTACCTACCTGTAAAGCCACAGCCCGAATAAACAAAGCCCTCGAAATTTATGGTCAAAAAACGTTTCTCGTTATATATGACGAGCACTGTACATGTATATGTACATACTATTGCGCACTTCCGGGAATTAGTGAATTAGAGAGCAAGTGCAGCAAGGGTAAGTTTAAGAGCAAGACTGAATGAAAGGGTTTCTTTATTGTTCCAAGGGTTTCCTGTGGCGATTTGTACGCAAATCGACCTTTACAGATGTTTGTTATTTTATTAGATGAAGTACAAAGGAGTTTTCTGGTCACCAGCAACAAAAAGAGAGTCTAGACTAGACTACAAAAAGGTTTCGAGAAGATTTCTGATCACTACAACACAATAATGCGCGCTACAAACGATCAAGATGGTTTCAATTAACCAAAAACTACAATGTTCAAAATCGAAGGTTGGACTTAGTTTCTGCCAACGTAAGCACAATCAAAGTATAAATTATTTTGGGTGAAGGTCATTCGCCACTTGTATGCAAGGTTTGAAAATGTTCAAAGCAAAGAAAAATTAGTTTATTCACAAATAAAGGAGCTTTTACGGGTAAAAGAAATTTTTAGTTTTAATTGATTAAAGCATGATGTCTAAAGGCTGAACATTCTGCCTTTATATACAACTTGATTAATATTAACTCTATTTCTCACTACTATTCTACTTTTAAAATATAATTCTTTGTACAATAAGATCGAACATAATATGAATTTAGCAAAAGAATATTGGAAAATACGAGCCGCAAGAAACCTTGATGACAAAAAATGTATGTTCGAAAGAAATTAATCTGAAACTGATAGTCATAACAAATAAAATTTACAAGGGGCATGGATAGATTCACGAATTGGCATTGGACATAAAAAAGATAATATTATTTGAACTAAAGAGATCATGGACTCATGATTCCCAATGTTGCTGCAGTAAAGTTATTGAGATCAGATGCTTAATTGTTGGTTGCGAAATTATCAAACATGTACAGTATTAATTATTACTGTAATTATGAAGTGTCACAATGTTCTGGTGTGCAACTTAATTAAATTATTAAACAAATAATGATCGATGATAACAATATTCTCCTTATCGAAAATTTAAAAAATTACGCAATTTAATGTTATTACATGTATTTTAATTATGAATGTACATGTAATCTTAACTCTAATCAAAATGTTATGAATATAAGAAGAATATGGTGTCAGGTCGATAACAGATCAAAATCGTGTGTCTGGCGCTTTTTTATCATGGATGGGGTATTCTTAATGTTAGCCATCTCGTACAGTTTATTGATTTATTTATACGAAATTATGTGAGAAATTCGATAAAAAGACGTAATATAAAAGTAAAACCGCTAAATAACGCACATCTGTGCGTTATTTCGAAATAAAAGACGATTTTCGGAACATGAAATTTTCAAATAACGCCACGTGCGGCATATAAAATTTTACATGTACATGTATAAAGTAGATTTTTCTTCAGAAATAGGGTTGTTAATGGAGTGCTCCAGTTTATATTAAAACATATAACCCACTCCCGAAGCTGCTTCGGAATGGGTTATATGTTTTAATATAAACTAGACCAAAACCTTATTCAGATAACATATTATGTAGAGTAATGACAAGCGATTGTATAAAGCATATCCAAATTTTGATTTTTTTACAGTGCACATAACTAAAAAACGGATATGATCACTCATTTCTACTTTCAGGTACACGTGTCATACATGCACTGATAGATGCTCGTTATTTCGGGACGCCCATGGGCGTTATTACACTATCAAAAGTATTTTTATATCAAGAAAAAGATTTAAATAAATTCAAAATTATAACTTTAAATTATGCAATATATTTATAACTTAGACTACGTATGCCCATTTTAGAGGATGTGATTTTCGAAATAATGTTTATGATCGTTATTTCGTTGTTTAACTGTTTATAACAAATAAAGATTTATCAAGTGCTGATTAAATAAATACGATATATAAAGTTTCAATATCCTTTTGCAAAAATTTAATGACAGTATATTTGAAGCAATAATTGAAGAAATAAAAATTATCCATTCGACAATAGTGCTCAGCTTAGGTTACAAGATATGCTCACTTATGTATATACGTTAACAAATTAAAATATTTTTTCTACAAGCTAAACACTTCTTTTAACAAAATCATTTGTTTAACATATCCATGATAAGAAAACTTTTATCAATGCATGTATATTGTAACTTAAAGTTTATTATATTTCACATGTCAATGTATAGAATATTAGGCGGAAGAAGAAATTGAGCCAATAGAAGAGGAACCACCAGGGTTTGTGTATCCAATTCCGTAATGGTCTCCGTCTCCGTTTATGTCTCCTGTAACGCTGCCGCTGCTGTAGCAAGGCCACCACACACACCTTTCCCGTTTATCTAGTGAGATAGGACTATAAAAAATGAATAATTGGCAAAAAGTGTTTTTTTAAATTTAATCTAAACTTGAGTAATGTTTTATAATTAATTTCATCTTATATTTTTACCTTCTTTTAATTGGTAATGAGGTTGCAACAAAATTATTACATATTAATATTGTTAAGATTAAAGAAAGCTGAAATAGTACGAAGTTTCTGGAGAGCATTTTTAAGACTAAGACTTGAGATAATATCCAATGAAAAAGTTTTAATTTTTAAATTTTATGTTTCAAACTTACGATCAAAAAAATTCTTGCGTCTCTTTATATAGAATGATTTAACCCCAACAATATTTCCTTGTATCTCTCAAAGATAGTTCATGTACTTGTAATATGTCATTTATTACTTTACATTCGGCGCGGAATGGTTTCACCATGACAATAAACGTATGTTTTTTCAGTTTAGCCACATTCCTCTATGAAAATTGACTTTTTTGTAGTTTTTAGATTATTATTAAATCGATACATGTACTGTACATGTGTAATGTATGTACACGTAATTGCTATCGCTATGTTTAGGATATTTATTAATAGATTAACTTATCGTTATTTTTATCTCTATTTTTATAATACAACTTATTTGAAAGTATCAAATTATTCTATAGATTGCCTGATTGTATTCATTATATTGACTGATATCTGATAAAAAAATTGTTAATATTACAGGAGAAGGCGAACATATTCATTTGTGAATTCCAAAGATTATTTTTTTTGAATGTTGATTTCTTAAACGTGGGAAGTTTGTGAACAGCATTAAAAATTTCCTCGATATAATGATTTTTATAATAGATACTTGATACAACGATGTTTCAAATATATTTATCATGCATCCCCGAACCGAACTATCGTTAGCTCGAGTTTTACTGTAGATAGAATCTCTCAATAATTATCCTTACTGTTTGCCTTGGAAGTCCTTATCTCCAAGCTTTACTTAATATTCAAAATGGAATTGTCATATAACAAAATATTTTTCAATCAAATTTTTCTTGTTTATTTTATGTAATTCACAATTCATAATTCTAATTCTAATACCAATTTTACGTATAATTGTTTCATACAAGATGCACGCATGCTCTGCATTTCCATAAATAATTATGTCAACAGAAATTGCATACCAATAGACATAATAATATACATTAAATTCAAGGTATTTGTTCTCTTGGAGATCCGAAATTAGGTGTTCGAATGACGTTAAACTGAGATATCCGGCGCGATATTACAGTCAAGATCTGGTGAGGGAAAGCCTATGGAAATAAAAATCAATAACTGAAAGGATTTCCTTACAAAATGTTATAATGATTGTGAATTTCTTGCAATATTACAGCTTCATGTTTGAACTTGTAAATTTCAATTAAATACGTTATTATTACTACTGTATATTGAAACTTATTCATAGACGGTTCGTAATTGCAAAAAAATTTTATAGTCTTTTACAGATAGTTATGAGCGATTTAGAGTGCTAATTGCAATTCATACGAGGTGATTCTTAAAGCAACTTACATATTGCTCACAACTTGTCCTCTTCAGGAAACTCTTATTAACAGGGCTTTCGAGAAAGTGAATATAAGTATGTTGCTTGCAAAAAAGTGTATTTTTGATCTAGATAGGCAATTTACAAATTATGAAATCGTTAATTGTAATACAAAGTTGGTCTTATAAGTAAAATCGAAGAGATCCAACAATATTGCTTAATTGGTTTTTCGCATTAATGAAGCAAATTTGAGAACAGAGTTTTTTGCTTTCCGAGTAACAATATCGAACTGCCAGTATTTAACTATCTGTAGAAATTTTTTTCAGTCTTTGTTTCAGTTGTTTTCCCTAAAGTATTGCAATGAAATAATCAATATTTTATCTAATTTAGTGGAATGATGAAATAGTTTCCTTATAAGCATAACAACAGTTTCGATTAGAATTTTTTGGCAAAAATCTTCTGGATTAGCTCATAAATTGATATTCATTTCAGTTCCGGTTCCTTTTAAGAATATTCAAGAAGAATTGTATGTTAATATTCATTTGTTGATTAATGCTAAGAAATTGAGCCTCTTAAAATTAAAACCTCGTATACTTTAAATTTCTTTGTGGGAAACTTCAATAGGCATATATCAGGAAAACGTTCTAAATCAGAAATAATCAGCGTTCTATGGGAACTTCGAACTTTTAGGTGACAGCATTTTTTGTCGTTCTATAATAATCTTAGTCTAGTTCCTGATTTGAAATACTGTAAGAGTGAAAAAGATTGGAAAGCGTATCGGTATTAAAACTATTGAAACAGATACAAAAATCGTATATTTTTCTACAGATTATTGTGTTCAACTACATGTTTAACAATAATAATAACGATAAGCAAAAAGAAATCTGTACAAGTGCAGTTGTATAAAATTCATTGAAAATAATTATTTTTCTAGTTTATACAAGTAATATGTCTGTCCTGTCTATGAATTTTCTAAAAATATAATGAAACTTGATCGATACATATCTGTACTATGTACGGGATTTTAGAACAATCAATCACAAATTTCGTTTCTGGGAAAGTGTGTATTCTAAAATTATCAATTTCATAGAGCAGAACTAATCATGAGATTTTGCTTTTTCATTCACTTACAATCGTAAATAAGATAGAATTAAAATTTATTATTATCGCTATTTTTTCAAAGATAAATAAATTCTTTGAAGCATTTAGTTTGAAATATTTATAAATAATGAGAACTTACTTTCGAAAAGCCTAAATCTATTTTTTATTTCGAATGAGAAAAGAAAAATTACTCTTATTCCACTTCTTCTCAGTGTCATACTATTTAATTCCTTTTCTTATTCAATTCCGTTTTAGTGTGTATATGTAAGTCATTATTTAAAAGGAAATAATTTTTAACCAGATTTCTTTATTTTACAGTTGCGAGGATGATTTTTGCGGAACTCGCCCGCGCCCAGGTCATTGGCCCCCAGGTCAATGGCCCCCACGCCCGTTGCCTCCAGGTCCACCCGGATGCAATGACTGTTCTTTCTAATTTGGTCAAGCCTTTTGTTACAATTTCTCTCGTAAAAGTTTAAACCACTCAATAAAAGCAATTTTTATGTTCTGGACTGATAATTTTAAGGCATAATGCGTGTCAGCTTCTGCATAATTTATTTTTGTTAATATTTATAACTAAATGCACATGTATATAATTCATTATAAATTAGAATTTAGTAATTAAATCATTACATGTATAGCGATACTAGTGATAATGCGATTACAGAGTACATGTACATGTATATCATATATTCAACCATGTATTACAATATTTTTCTTATTGGTTAAACAATTTTTTCAATAAAATATTTTTAACATATTTATGATAAGAAATTTTTTTGGAGGAAGAGATAAATTGAATGGAAGGATATCATCGTAATTAAAAGAATATAGTGTTACGCCTTTCTCTAAAGATGTTGAAAGTCAACACAAGGGTAGAGACTCCGATTGAATGATTTTACGGCAAGGTAAATTATGGAGTTCTTTCTATTTATCAAGTTTATACACAAAAGGAATAAAAGCTACTTGTACGCAAGTGCGAGTAACAATAAAAGTATGTATATGAATTATTATTAATTTCTTTAGTTTTTAAAGTTTACGTACATTTTAATTATTTTATATGTTAATTGAGTGATTGAGGTTCTGATCCAACATTGAAACTATTAGGGTAATTATCGTGAAAGGTTATAATGACAATAGGGATAAGCGAATAAAAGAGAAAATTCATAAACGAGATGTCAATTATAATTTTCAAAATTGTTACAGAGTCTCCAATGTTAATAATAATTAAAGAATGGGTCGTTCAATTATTTATTGTGTGTTTTTTATAAATTATAATGACATTTTGAAAGTGTGCGAAAAGATAATATGGTGTGTTGGTCACAAACTTCCCACCAAATAGATGATCTTTGGAATGCATAAATGAATGAAATTTTTTTATCAAATATCAGTCAATACATGGTATAAATCGACACTTTAAACAACAGCTGTATTACAAACATGGACATGTATCGATTTAATGATAAGTTAAAAAATACAAAAAAGTCAATTTTCATAGAGGGTGATATACGTTTATGGTGAAATCATTCTGCGGTGAATGTAAAGCATAAATGGCGGACATCTACTATCTTTGAAATACCTTTAGCTTGCAAGGAAATATCATCTGACGTTAAATAATTCTATATAAACCGACACGAGAATTTTTTGATCGTAAGTTTGAACCATAAATTTTAAAAATTAAAAACTTTTTCACTGGATATTATCTCAAGTCTTAGTCTTAAAAAATGCTCTCCAAAAACTTCGTTCTATTTCAGCTTTCTTTAATCTTAATAATATTAATAAGTAATAGTTTTATTGCCACCTCATTACCAATTAAAAGAAGGTAAAAATATAAGATGAAATTAATTATGAAACATTACTCAAGTTTAGATTAAATTTAAAAAAACTCTGCCAATTATTCATTTTTTATAGTCCTATTTCACTAGATAAACGGCAAAGGTGTGAGGGAAATTGCGATAGCTACAGCCCTACAGGATATACAAATGGCAACGATGGCAACAACTTTATAGCAGTTGACGGAAACCATGATGAAAATATTCATAATTACAATTCTCCTCCTTTTATTTCTCCTTTCACCCCGTATTCCATATATTAATTACGTAAAATATTGTAAACTTTAGTTACAATATTCAAGTACTGAAGAAATTCTCTTATTGTGAATATTTTAAAAGTAACTTTATCGAAAGAACTGTTTAGCTTATAGAGAAAATTTTAATTTGTCAATATACATAAATACATAAGTGAGTATGTCTTGTAATCTAAGCTGACCATTATTTTTAATTGGAAAATTTTTATTTCTTAAATTATTGCTTCAATTATATTATCGTTTCGTTCTGCAAAAGTTATTAAAGCATTATATACTGTATTTATTCAATCATCGCTTGATAAAATGTTTGCTTACTATCTAAATTTCAAGCATTTTCATAGCACTTAATTAGAGTTAGGATTATTATATTAATACAGTAAATCTTTAGATAAATCAGGGTTGGATTCAGTTCAAGTTGTCCAAAATATTATCCAAATGCCCAAAAAATCCGTCCAAACTATATTAATTATCAAAACATATTACATGTATTAATAATACTTGATATTTGGACCA